GGGAGCAGCGGTTTGAGCCCGTGAGGTCCCGAGAGGTGCCATTTCCTGGTGGTGCGATCGCGGCGATGGATGGGGGCGAGATGCACCTGAAAGTGCGGGAGAACGAGACGTGTCCTGCGCCCCAGGAGGAAGCGTTTCGCTGCGCTGCAAGAAAGCTGCCATCGTGTTGGATTAAACCGGCACCAGGGTCCGTGGATGCATCGCCGAAACCTCCACGCATGGTTTAGGAGCGGGCTCTTCGTTTCCGTGCTGTCATCCTTACTGACGCGGTCACCCTGACTTGTTTTCTCTATCTCGTCTAAATCAGTCACCGCGTTATCAGTTTGGACCGTGTAACAGTTGGGCAAAGTCTTCACTGAGTTTCTTAAAACAGCAAAGCAATGTCAGGCATCAGCCCTGCTTGTGGAGGAGACTGAGATCCAGTGATTCTTAAAGACAGTTGATTTACCAAGCTGTTTATAAATTAAACCTGGAAAAGCTATAAATAGCAAGGCAGTAGGAATCACGAGCATCTTTGTTGACCTAGTTATAGCTTGTTAGTAAAATAAGGTACTTCCGACTCTGTGGAAGTATACACATAGGAACTGCAGCTCTTTTCTGGAGGCTGCTTTCCTGCAGTCACTGCATTTGACAGATGGAAAAGTCATGGGAAGGGAATGAAGCTTGAAAAAAACACTTTGGCGTTGAACAAGTGCGTTGTTATACTGTCATTTGTTACTACACCTTAATTTCCTGACACTCTCCCCATGCCACTACAATTGTATTTTCTTTTCTAAAGCCCTTTGTAAGAGAAGCTGAAAATGCTGTGTTTCTCATAGGGAATACTTACCAAAACAGCAGCAAAACAAGTGCAGGGAAGTCTTTCAGAGGTACACGTCTTTCTGCACTTAAGCAGGAAAAGCAGCTTTTAGAAAGTGCAATGATTTTGGTAAATACTGTCTTCATATCTCTGCAAATGTTAAAGGCAGTGATAACTGTCTACAGTGTGAGATAACTAGATACCAAGCTCATAAGAGTATAAAGATTAGGGAACCTTGAAATACGCCATCAGATTGCTTGACATATTCTGAAATAAGCTTTTAAATGTACTTCCTTTGAGCTGTGTTCATGCCAGGCAAAAGAGTTTGTTTGGTAGCACAGATTGGGGGTTTAGTAATTAAAACCAGCACTTTCTCAAGAGTTAAACTTGTGCTATGGGTATTATACTGTTGACCATGGCCGTGTTTTTCAGATAGTGAGTATCTGAGGTTTGATATTACCTGAAAACATTGTGCTTAAAGTCAGTTGTTCAGAAACGTTGTGATTTCATCCTGGGTGGAGAGTCCCGCTGAGCTCTGACTGTACAGACTAAGTGCATTGTCCAAGCCTCTGCAGGTTTGTAGGCTACTGAAACAGTAGATGCTGAGAAACTAATTGCAGCTCTCCTTCATCTTGTTAAAGGTGTGAGAGTCCTCGTGGATGCCAGAGAGAAACTTCATATCCCCTGGGGAGATCCTGCGAACCAGAGTAACGGAGATACGATGATGGCGTTTGACACCCGCTCCGTGACAGTGGTGCAGGGCATGGTGGAGACAGCAGTGTTCCTGCAGTACCTGCCAGCCATCCGAGCCCTGTGGGCTGACAGTGGCATCCAGCACGCATACGACCGGCGCAGGGAGTTCCAGCTGGTAAGTTCTGTGTTTGTGTTTGTAATTGAGTGTGTAAAACACAGCTCGAGCGGCCTCCTCGTGGTTCTGAAGCGTTTTGGAATGGTGCAGTGTTACCCTGTGGGATTGCAAACAGATTGCATTTAGCTCCTTCCCTCCCCTTTTTTTACAAAACAAGAATAAAGAGCTGCTGGCATAATTGTCCTCATTTCATATGTGAGAAAGCAGAGGTCTAGAGGGCTTTTATGTCTTGTAACAAAGCTGGTACCTCCGTAGTGTTTTTACCATACGATTGTTTCCTTTGTTAACTAGTGCATTAACTTAAAACAGAACATGGTTTGCAGTAGAGGAAGACTCAACAGTAATGTGATTTTTTTAAGAAGAGATATGCATGGGTTAATGAGAAGAATTTAAAAACCACTCCCTTCTCTATTCCAGTTTGAGCAATCTAGCAAACATTCCCTCTGTATACTTCCTGTTTAATTTTGAATGTCTATGTTCATGCTCATTTAACAAGATTTTTGTTAAATTCAAGTTCTCAGCTGAAGGTAGAGTATACAGTTTAATAGCGGGGTTGAGGTAGAGTGTACAGCTCTACAGTGGTGGTGGAAAGGAAGAAGAAACATGTCTCGATCTTGAGCTGGAGCTTGAGCTCCCTGTGACAGCTGAAGTCCCTTTGCTCTATTTCCATGCAAATGCTGCAAAAGGAAACAAAGAATTTAAGTTAAATTTGCTGCTTACTGGTTCATAGACTTGTGTAGTAAACGCCAGTGGCACAGGGATTTGTAGGGATGGAGGTTGAGAAACTTAAAATAGATCAAATCTGTTCTTGTAGGTCTCTGAAATCTCAGTGGCTTTGTGTTTTTTTATGTCTTAAAAATAACCTTTGTGTTAGTGTGAATCTGAACAATAGCTGATGATGTCTCCTGTTGAGCTGTTATGAATGGTTGTGTAATTGTGCTCTGGCTAAAATAGGTTGTGTAAATACTCTATAAATATGTATTGCTCTGATCATGGAACATCTTGTAGACGTTGCAGGATGGGCAGGTGCCTGTCACCCTGTCACCTGCCCTGTGAGCTCTGAGCTGTGTAATGTGTTTCTATGGAGACCTGTTGCTCCTTGCATTTTACCTTCAAGGTGATCAGAAGAGTGATTGCTCTGCTCCTGGTGCAGATGTGACCTACAGTGACACAACTGCTTTGCTAGAGTGATCTGGTTTAAAAGCTGGTAAATAAACCTGCTGAGCGTGGCTGGTGACTGCAGGGGAAGCAGCAAAGGAAAAGGGACCTATTGCCATATCGTCTTCTCCAGTGTCTGAGAAGAAGGTTCTTTCCATAACTGAAGCTTGTGCAGAGTTTCACTTTGAGTAGGATTTGAAGAATGTGTTTTTCTGCTTCAGGCAGAAAAAACCCTATTGCTTTCTTTTGGAAATCCCTAAATCTGCATGATATTCTGGATCACGTATGGATCCTGTTATGTTTTAGGCAGAGCTCCAGCATATTTTTAAGTGCTCTTAATAGTTGACCACTATCCTAATACTGATTTTGAAAGTAAGGTAACTGCTTTATTTATACTTAAATTGCTTTATTCCCTATATCCTTTCAAAATCTCAGCCCAAGATATTTATGCCAAGTTATAAACATGAAAAAAAGGGAGCAGCTGAATGATGTCACTGTATTGAGTGCAGCAGTGTGAGCAGTGCTGGCCAAGCATGAAGTCTGGGGTTTTACCCCAGCTTAAGCTATGACAGAGCTCCATGTGGGCAGCAGAGTGCTGGAAGACTCCCGGAAGCAGCATGGATCTTTGCCATACCTGCTGGCGGGCTTTGGAAAAGAGGGTTCAGAGAGTTTAGGTATGTGAGGTACTATGGAAGGAAGACACAAATGGTTAAGGACGGAGTGATGGGCGTACCCGAGACAGGAGGTAGAGCAGGGGGAAGCTGGAATAGACACAGACAGTGCCCTTGGGTCTAGTGCTGACTCTTGAAGTAAGGATTCAGGACTGAAAATTGTTAGCATTGCAGATGGAGAATAAAACAGTGTTCTACTTCCAGTTCTGCTGGGGACAAAAAATGTGATGAAAAGAGAGATACTGGCAAGATCTGTGCACATTTGTGAGAGGCCGTGGAGCTGTTCATACCGTTTTCCTTCTTCTCCATCGGTTTGCATTTACAATGCCAGAGATGATGCTAGGACCCTGAAGAAACAATGTGGTCTTTTTATAGCTGCATGAGAAGGGAAAAAGCAGAACTTGGTTATATTTTAATGGAATTAGAAATCAGCATTTCCATGCCTCGTTCACTGGAGTGTCCTTCCTCTTTTTGTTAATGTAAGTGGTCATGAGGATAGTCAATATGATTTATTTTCCTTGGTATAAAAATAGGGGCCTTCTGGCCACTAACAACAGTATTTATGAAAATTCATGAGGTCACTTACGTAGTGCTTTAAAGCTAATTACAGCTTAGTACATGTGAGCCACTTCAGTGCTTCTCAGGTGGTTAATATTATAGTCCCTCAAATTTTATTACCAACTGAAGTCATTCAGGTGATAGTTCCACTAACACAGTTAACCAGAGACTGTTTTGGCTCTGTAGCTTAGTCAGTTCCTTGAACTTTATATTCTGGTTGACTCCAAGCTTTCTGTCCTTCATGCACTGAGCTTATTTCTCCTACAGCCTCTGGTCGACGTCTGATGTGGATTAGTTACAGCGTTAGTCTGAATCAGCTGAAGCTCTCTGACATCTAATGGTTGTTGCAGATTTCTCATTGCCAGCTGGTTTACAGTTAAAATCTCCTGAAATGACTTGGATAAAACACACTCATCTTAATTCTACAACATGCAAAGTAATTTAACAAGGCATTTCCTCGCCTTTGTATTTATGCTGGTGAGCTGTTCAGTTCTGCAGTTGTTAAGGCGGGCTGTTCTCACTGGGACTTGCTCAGGGGCACTGGCAGCTGAGGAGTGGCTGGTGCTGCTTATCTAGTAACACCAAGGAAAGCACTTCTGAGTAGAGTATGGTTGTACCCTGCTACACTGCCTCTCACTTCAGCACATCTGCAGTGAACTCACATGTGCTATGAGAGCTGTGCACTGAGAAGTGTTCTGAAGTACTCTCCAGGAGTTTTCTCATTCTCTGACAATGGAAAAGTGGGATGAGAGCTGAGTAGCCCAGATGCACGATAAGCTTTGAACCTGTTAAAGGTTTGTTCTTGTTAAAGATAATGTTTGGGTGGGTTTGGATGTTTGCTACCAGCAATTGTTGATCTGCAGATAGTTACATTTTGCCCTAGTTGCAAATTACACTGGGTGTTGTTGTGTTGTTTTGTTTTTAATGCCATGAAGATGCAGTGCTCAGGGGCAGTGATGACACTTTATTATGTCCATATCTGCACAGAACTGCAGACATGGATGGTACAGCAAGGATGGCAGGATATGCATTTACCTCTGGATCATGTTTACTTCTGTGACATGTCTGCAAGTGCTAGATCAGATTATAGAAGACAGGAAAAGGCGTGTTCAGCTCAAAGTTATGCTGCTAGTTTTGCTGCAGCTTCCCTGCAGCATTTTCCTGTTGCAGAGTAGTATTTTAGAAGAGTGTTGGTCAGTTTAGCTGACTTTTATCTTGTCCTGGTGGGGCTTTTCTGGGTTTTGTCTCTGAATATTGGTGGGACTATTGTACACACAAGAACATTATACTAGGTCTGCTGGAAATAATGAGTCCTCAAATGGCCACTGCAAAGTATTAGCAAAACTTGCAATTCTCTTAGGTGCGTAGGCAACACATCCTTGAAACTTGCTTGTTTATAGTGATCCTGATGAAGTCAGTTGTGTTTGAAGCCAGACCAGGTTGCCAGATTTGAGCTCCTTCTCATGTGTGGGTGCCCATCTCATGGTCAGTACTTCAGCATCTCTCTGAAGTCACAAATGTAGAACCTGGAAAACCAGTATCTGTCGTTCATTAAAAGCATCTACAGCATATTTGTGACACTGAATTTCACAAGCCTTTCAGCAGCTTGTGCCCTCTGTAATGTGCTGGTAACTCCTCCCAGTGATCATCTCTGCAACCTCCCCACACCCCAAAGTTGGGGGGTGGCGATATCTTTCCCCCTTCCCTTCCCCCGATCCTCTCTTGGTTCTGGGATTGGGTATTTGGTTGCCCTGCTCTGTTTCTGGTTGAAGAGTGGAAGTGGTACTTCTATTAGGACATGCCTGAGTACATGAACTGTTGAGGAGAGTTTTTCAGTCTGATTGAAGAATCTTCTTCCATTGCAGACACGAGATCCAATCACCCAGCACTTCTGCAAACAAGTGCATTGGCTGTTTGGGCACTTAATCATATAATTCAGAGTTAACTTAAGTATAATGTTGTAATTACACTGAATATTGTTCAAAATTCTGTGGGGAAAACAAAAAGCTGCTGCTTTGTGTTGAAGTATGAACTATTTTCCC